CTATTTGTTGGCATGCCGGGTGCCTGGACAAGCCATGACAAGCCACCGTACTGTCGCAATGATTTGACGGTTTCAATGTTTCAAGTCGGAGGGCTCGACCGGCTCGACCTCCTGGCTTTGCTGTATGATTTCATATGGTTTCCAATCTTCCAGATTATTCCAGATTCAAGAAACACCAGAGACAGACAGAGAGAGAGAGGGGTGTTTTGAGTCTTGCGGGTGCAATTTTCAAAGCCTGCAGGGACCAATGTAATGTTGGTTTAATTGCTTTTAATCTGAAATTGGTGCTGGTTGCCAGGCTGAATATCCGGGGGATCATGTGGGATCCTACCGCCACCTTGTTTTAAGATGACTCTGTTGATCTCTGTTGAACATTGTTGAACTATGATAACAAATTGGTTTTGTATTGCAATGTTTTGCATCCTTTCAGATCAGAGAAACGGCAATTTGTATTAATTTGTCGTGTCCTCCCATCACAAGTTTGCTCATCGTCGACATGGTGAAGAATTACCACCAAACCCGCCAGTCTCAAGCGGACAATGAAAGAACGATTCTGTGAAAAAAACAGGAAAACAATTGGAAAACATAGGAAAACAATGTTTCCGCTGAATGTCCAACGCGTGTCCCGTTCGGAAGCTTCAGATTTCAGGCTTTGAACCAGCCCTGCGGTGGCCTCCGCATTGCGACAGCATCATGGTGGCCGGGTCCTCAAGGGCACATGCTGAGGAACTGTGGGATGGCTGCCTACATTTCAGCTTGAAGATTGGGAGAAACATGACACGCATGACACCATGACTCCTATGTCTACCCGACATGACAGCAGCAGTTTGGAATGCAACTCTACTAGAAGAGCATGCACAGGACAAAACATTTTGAGAATGCATCTCTCTTTGCAGAGTCAGTTGCGTGCAGTTCTTCTGGCCGGTTCAGGCAGCCAAGGGTGAGATCTGTTTGTTGCCAGAAGCCTTTTCAGCAGCCTTGCGCGAGGCTATGAAGGAGAATTGCATGCTTTCTGGAACTTGTGAGATTGATATAGTATGATATAATATGGTATATGATAGTATGCTATGTGCATCAAGAAACTGCAACAAATATGTATTTATATAATATATAACTATATACATTTGTTATCATTTGTTGAAACATATCGCAACATATTGAAACATATATATATGTGATATGTGTATTGAAACTGGACGGGCTCGTGTGTGATCACAGCACTGAGTGACTCGTTTTGCTCAGGAGGTGTCTAGGGACATGTGCTCCTTGGCATCAGATCAGCCGTTTGTGCAAGAACTGCTCCAGCACCCTGCAGCTGCTTCACAATACAATATTTGTGCACGTATGCAGGTACGAAATGATCTGAATATGAACATAGGTATACTTGATTATACTTGTGTAAAAGCATGTAAAAGCTGTATTGGCATATGTGTAAGAGGAGCGAGTTCGATTGGGTAGGGCCGCGCCATATTGCAAATATCAGCCGCAACTGGTTTGTTTCCTGTTTTGGATATAATACTCCGAAACAGTGACGGGGAAGGATGTTGCAGTATAGAGATTTGTCCTTGGCTGTTTGCTTCTGCTTATTGATGGTTTCTTGTCATCACACTGCATGGATAGAAATGTGAGGTCCACCACGGGCAGAAACAGGGCTTTTCGAGATGGTTGACGATGAAGGTCTGCCGTTGTCAAGTTGTCAACGTGGCTCACAATTTGATGTGTCGTGACGTGCCTTCATATCTTGGGAAGTTGGCGAGGATCCAGATCCCTGAGATGCAGATCAGACGGTCCTTGTTCAATTGCACTGCATTTATTAATTTATGATGCTCTTTTTCCATCTTTTTCCGTGAGTTGCTCCTGGAAGATTAGCAGTGAGACCTCAACCTCGCCACAGTGTCCACCAATGCAGGGGATGAATCTGCAGAGCTTGGAGAGCTTGGATCCCTTCACTATCAGGCCTGGGGATCCCAATGAAAAATGAACATCCATGGGTATACATGGGTTGATGGTCAACATTGATCGAGGTAAGTTAAATTCCACTGGCCTCAGAGATCAAAGTCTGAATCAGTATGAGAAGAGTCATACGATGATTTCGAAGAAAATGGCGGCACTACTTAGCAGATTTAGCATACATTGGTAATCATTGGAATATCATTGGTATACACATCGGTTTCCCAAGGTTTTCCACCATCTCCTTGAGTCACAGACTGTTGCCCAGCAGTCAGGGTGCCTCAAAAGGCAGGGAGCCTCAGGACCTCCCAAACAATGCTCATGAACCGGAATTGCATAACGACGTTCAAAAGATGGAAAAACACAAGATGGCACACAATTCGTTGGAACAAGCCTGAAGTCATCAAGATGATTCTGGTGGTTATGATATGTTATGATTGCCAAGGTCATGAAAGACAAACAAGGCTGATTGGAAGTTTGAAGGTGAAAGAAAGCAATTTAAAAAGAAAAACACGTTCCAATTCTGATCCAGCAATCATATCAGGCTCTCCCATCATCTGAAATTTGATTGTTTTTGCTTCGCATATGTTTCCTCCCCATTCCGGATATGGCCTCCTCCATATTCCGACAATCACAGGTCGCAGAGCCATTGCGCAGCCCGACGAAGCGCGTTTCCCAGCGATGGTCCAGATCCGATCGTCAAATTCAATCCATCATATCTCAAGGTGTAGAAGTTCTGTAGAAGATTCAAGTTTATCATAGTAGTCAGATGTAGTCAGATGTAGTCAGCCTCATCAATTAAACCAATTACTCCATCAATGAGTCAATAGCTGTAATTCCGAATGTGATCCCGAGATATCCCGAGAACTGTTTAGTGAGTTTTGTGTGTTCTTGGTCTATGGATATCCATGGCATCCTATGGGTTTCCAATGGTTTGAAAGGTGCAATCAGCCTGGCTGAAGAGGTCAATGGTGCTATCATGAGCTATCTACTGAGGCCCCTGTTCGTGCAGCCACTGTTGGGCTGAATGCATTTGAGCAGCGGACTCAGCTGCCCCAAAAGCATTCAGAGAACATCAAAGAACTGCAATGTTAAGACATGTCAAGACAGTGTCAGACAGTATTCATCATGTGCATGTGATGCAGCCTCTACGCAGATTTCTCACATGTATATTATGATTATTATGTGCGTGTGCACAAAATTCTACTCAAGTTTACACCTTTTTACAGAAGCAGCAATCACAATTTGACAGCCCCACAATTTGTATTTCTTTTTGACTGGTCAGAACAGGGCTTGTTAGTCAAACCTTGTTTCAGGGCACCCATGGAGCTCGACCTGGGCCTCATGGATATAGCGAAGCAAAAGAGGTACATTGCCAGAGTCCAGGACCTTGCAGAACTGAGCCCTACTGTCAGTACTTAGCCTATCTTAGCCTTACGTAAAGCGGGTAGGCGTGACAGCGGACGGAATGCACCACTTCTTTTTGACTGCCTATTGCCTTCAACAGCCCATGGCCCCCACCCCGTGCCTTGTGGTGTTTGTGAGGAAGATCAGCAAAATGTATCTCTTGATTTTCTGCAATTTCAGGACGCCTTGGCTGCTGAGCTTGCGATGGCCTGGGTGTCCCAGAAGGGGATTGAATAGGAGGGTACACAAGAAACGGTCGTGATTAGCATACTGCACATCATTCAGTGACGTTGGCCACTTCATGGATTCATTGGTTCCACGAGAGCATGTACTGTAGCAGGAGGAATTGATACTGTAAGTCAGAAGGTGCAAGCATGCAGCATGCTACAGTTTCGGTGTGTACAGTAACCGCGTTCCCTATGCTATACAATTATACATGCATGTGCTGTACACATCCGTATGCGAAACTCAACAATGCAATGATTTGTGCTGCGCACATGTGCATGATTGATCAGATAGATTAGATTGCTTTATCATGTTTCATAATGTTTTATATAATTATTATATAGGTTAGATTAGGTCAGAGGAGAGAGATAAATAAATGGCGTGTCCGAAATCTATTTGAACATGCCCGAAGCGGCTATCCATACAAGCACTCGGTAGTTGTCCGAGTGCCAGCATCACTCACAGTATTGCAGTTTGCTGCTGCCTGCTTCTGGCGTATACATTCTCCATCGTCATTATCCGCCCAGAGGCAAGTTGTCACAAGTTGTCCATCTAGATGAGCGCATAAGGTGAAGCGGAAATGTCAACATGTTTGCATAAGTTATTGGATATGCGCACTGCGCACCTTACTTCCTTTTCACCAATGTACGCTCGCCAACATTATCAGCGTGAGCAAGTGCATATACTGATACTAAGGCCATGGGAGTGCAGCCAGAGGACCGTGGAATGGACCGTGGATGTAGCTACTGCGATGGGAAGCGGGCAGAGACGAGAATTTGACTCAGCCAGATGCACTATGTTTCAAGTGAAAGTTTCAACAGCACCCACGTCATTTTGGTCACAAATATTTGAAAGTAGCAGGATGTGATTGTTTCCAGCATCGAAGAAGATGAGCCGGAAGCCAAACGCAAACCATGTACCAAGATGTCTCAGATGAGGTCAAAGATCAAAACGACCATCTATCCCGATTTGGGACAATCTCCATCCCTACTCGTGGCAATATTCCAGCTACTTTGCTTCGTCAGAAGTATTGCCCTGCCTTAAGCGAACACGTAACTTATATTGTCAACTTTAATATGCTCACATACGGTACTAAGCAATTACACGTTGTTTGCAGTCTGTGGCCGTTTGTTAAGGAACGGAGGATGGAAAGCCATATTCTCGGCCAACGCAACCAGGCACAGTGGGCTGTCTCAATTGCAATGATGAACTTGGGCTGACCTTCTACATCAGGGGAATTGAAGTAGGGATGTTTCAAACTAGGATCGTCAGCAGAAAAGCAGGAGGGGAAATGGAAAGTAATCGATTGCCGGAATGGCAGAAATGAGAGATCATCCTGCTGCTGTTTGCCCAAAATTAGAGCAGAATGTGAGCAGCATGTGATGGCACGATACGCCAGGGATGAGATGGAGTCGGCAATGGCCGGAACTCAGAACGACTTCCCTCCGCCTGGGCTGGTGCCCCAGATTTGCTGAAACAGCAAGGCATGTCAGAGAATATGAACTAGGAATAACTATATATATATATATACATATATATATATATATAATCTATATAGATAGGCATGGATAAGCCAAGGATTAGCCAAGGATGGCCCGGGTCAGAGGCAGATTTATGCATAAACCAGGCCAGACCAAAGAGTTCGACGGCTAGCTGCAGATATTCGCTCAGAGAAGAATCTTGGCTGCGTTTGGACAAGTACATGTCAAACCGTCAAACAAACCTGAGGCTTTAGAAAACTTTTCTCGGATCCCCTTCCGCCGATTCAACAATTTGTCGGGATTGCCACGCCGTATCCAAAGCATGTTTCTGACACTTGGAACTCAGCTGGGGCCCCAAGACCCAAATGCACTACAAACATGGCAGCTTAGGCTATCAAAAAACCGAAGGTTTAGTATGCTAAATCACGCCAGATGCTCAGCATTTGGCTTTCAGGAACTGTGATAAAGTATGTATGAAATGCGGACATTGATGGACAGTTTCACTTTAAATTGATACCGCAATTACTTCTCACTTTGCATGTTTGCGATTGTTTGTTTCGATTGTTTGGATTGTGTGGTTGTGTGAGCATGGTCATGTGCACAAGCCAGCCCGTTGTCCAATGTAGTGTAGTGCTTGGATGTACTTGCAAACAACTAGTTGTTGCTGTCATGTAGTGTAGTATAGTGATGTATAGTGTAGTAATTGTGTAGTATATTATGCTGCTGTTGCAAAGGATTTCAGTTATGCTGTCATTGTACTTGAGCACAGGCGCCATCAGGCGCCCTCTAAACCACTTTAAGCACCATTGGGCAAGCAGGAAAGCGGCCCATGAAACTCTGAGGTCAACCCCAAGATTCCCATGCACGAAATCGTCGGGCTCCTGATCTCATACAGTGCAGAAATTCCATGTACCAGTTTCGTTGCATGAGAAACTTATGGAAATATTGGAAATGTTCTGAAATCTTTGAAAATCACTAGAAATGAGTCTTGCACTCTGCAATCTTCGCTGCGGGGCGAAGGAACGTGTCCAAATCACGGACACGCTGGCGTGGTGGTTTGGAAGCTTAGTTTGGCTAGGATCCAACTCCGGACATATTGTTTTGATGGAAATACATTGTCTCACTGAAGTTTTTGCACATGAGGTGGATATGCTTAAATACTTTTAGCAGGGCGGACAGGGAAAGTCTCGTTCTTGACTCGGGTTTGTGCGAGCTAGAAAAGAGTGGGGCAAGACAGCAAGTATGATCTTCAGTTTGCTCCAATGCTTTATTTGCTGTAGCAGGCCGATCCATGCTACCTGAACTCTCTTCATCATGTTTGCTGCTAAACTAATTGGGGCCTCGAAGTTCCCCATGCCACTCCACTGTATTCAGGCGCCCCTTGAATTCTTGATTTGAGTTGGAGGCAAATATATCCAGAAAAAATGTTCACCTCAACCCGCGGAGTTCAGTATTCAGATGTATTCAGCAATTGGGCCCGAGAAATCACATTATATCAACCTGGCCTGGAGCCTTTCCCCCTCTTTTCCATCCTGAGTCATGGCCTTGGTGGCTTCACAGAAGAGGACACTCGCAGGCGCATCATGTTCAGAGAGCCCAGTCAAAATAATTGATCAACACGGGGTTGTTTGATAGAACGCGCGGTTTTCACTCCATGTGAGAGCTCTTCGTTCCTTGATTGTCTTGCTGCTCTTGGAGCAGTTCTGGAGCAGTCGTTTGGGCTATCCGGCTATGTTCGGCTATGATCCTTTCCTAATAACTCAATTCCGCGGCAACTTTGGACCTGAACAGATCATAGCAGATCCAGATGATCCATTGCCGCCCATTGATATCGATGATCCAGGCTAGCCAGTATCTTCTTGAGCCCAGAGGCACTGCACAGGTGGGGGCAGCAGCCTTTAGGGTGAGGACATCAGAGGACCTTGGCACCTCACCATGCCTCCCTAAACAAAGGACGTTGATGCTGAAATGGTTTCGATCATTTTCGATTAAAGATGATTAAAGGATATTAAAAATGAGTAGACATGCATTGTTCATATTTTTCTTGGTCAAAGGGTTGTTGCAGGAAGGCGTACAGCGGCAAGGGCCTGCAAGCTCAAGACTTCAAAAGGCTGGGTCCTCAGGCCGCAAGGCAGGGAGATCCCAGACAGAAGGGCACGTGAGAGGCTGAGAAAATATGAGTGACCGACAAGAATAAACAAAGACCAAAGCAGCAGGGAGTGGACTTGCGATGTTCAAATTTGTGTTAAAACCTTCGCAACCGATGGTATACCCCGATACCATCCGATACCCTATCTTTATATTTTTAGACATAGCTTGGAAGTACAAACCTTCACAATTGATAGGGGACCACCCACTTTGGCCATGTCCATTGGGAGTAGGTCATTTTGTCCACTGGAAAAATGATATCCTCAGCAGCAGCTCCAAGGCTCCGTGCCGCTGGCTTCACCGATACGGATCTTCGAAGGCAAGGGTGTGAAAGGTGTGAAAGGTGTGGAAGCTCCGATGGGATCAGAGATCACAGTGAGATCACATTGAGATCACAGTAGCCAAGATTCCAAGATAGTCAACATAGTCAAGGATTCAGAAGCAAGGAATCCTTGACCGTTTTTGACGCACTTGGGGCAAGCATGCACCAGCTACAATTTCTGATAATTTCTGCGCTGTGTCATGGAGACTTCAAGATGTTGTTTGTATGAAAGCCCGCAATAGAGCAAACGTTTCACGGTTGTTTCATATTCTGGCCATTTTTGGCCCTGTAACGCACGTACACTTCGAATACAATGAAGTGTGAAATGCAAGCAGAAGCACTGCTATTACAGGCTGGGTTTGCTTGGCTATGGCCTGTCCGATGATGAGGTTGTGAGGTGCATGCAGCTTCGCCTAAACCACACAGCGGATCAGAGCGTCCAAGATTTGTCATCAAGTGTGGATAGGACAGTATGTGATATCTCAGATATCTCCACTTCATTGACTGTAACATGGCCTGGACAGATTGGACCAGATTGCATTGTATTGAAATATGATGAAATAATATGAAAAATGAAATATGTTTTAATATTAGGCGCTAAGAGCAAACAAGCTCCAAGAGCTTGACAAGTCGAGAGCGATACTTAAAGGAACTCACGGCATGTTTTGCATTTTTGTTGCCCACAGCAGTGATTGGTGTATCATTGATGTACTGTATCAATATGTGCCATCGCAATGCGCATCTCAACATATTTGCAGAGCAGGCTGGAAGCAGCAGGATTCAACAAGGAGGTGCTTCAAAGGCTCGACCAGTGCCTGACCTTGAGCCGAACGCTCCCCATTGGAACACTGTCCTGCAATGTGATGAAACTAGTGGGGCCATATCATGCCATATCGATCATTATCCATCCATATTAATCCATATTGCCTGATGGTCTCATTGTGTCGCTGCTACAGAGTGTAGATATACGACAATAATATACCATAATATACCTACGTAAGCTTTTCGTTGCGAAGACAAAAAGAGATCTAAAAGAATCTAAAAGAGGTGGTCATTTCGCGATTCCAGGGTCTCAATCGAGCACGATCGTGAGGCGACTTCTTTCTGGTGATGCCTTCACACAGGATGAGCAGACAAGGCGAACACGACCACATTGAAGATCATCAAAGTCACGCTCGACTCAGTCACAGGGGAAACCTCATAGAGTGGCCCAGAAAAAGGAAGAGAAACTGGACGGGCAAAACGGCACCAGACAAAGGCGCATTAAGGCGCAGTTTCTTGTTGCGGTGCCAGAAACTTTCTGAGATCAGAAAGCCCTTGCAGGTTGAGAACTGAAGGCCTTCCCGTAGAGCGATTGCGAAAGTACAGCTCCCAGAGGTGTGCAATGACTACATAGATTCATGAGATTTCATGAGTTTAGGTGGAAGGCATCAGCACACCATGGACGTGACGTGCAGCATTCAAAGACGCTAGTATAGACCCATACAAGAAGGTTTTGCTTACTTCAAAAGTTTGATGCACCCCGATCCCCACACAACTTTAGCTGGATTACTGCAGCAATATGTGCGCTGCATTTTGGAACTAAGGCTCCTAGCTGGTTCTGGCAAATTCTCCATGAGCGAGAAAGAGAGGTGCTGATTCCTGGCCACAAAGCGTAGCACCGGAATTTGTAGGGCTGGAGCTCCCAGAGACCTTGCGCTTTGAATATATTTGGATATAGATGGATAGGGTGATAGGGTTGCGAAAAGTGAAACGAAGATGGGCAGATCAAAACACCAAGGAAACCTCGGAATATCCTCGGGATATATTTGCTTCCCTAGCTCGAGTCCCATCATGAGCTGGAACTACATGAGAGCTGGCCTCTGAAAGCACATACCGATGGTTTGACAGGTTGATGAGGGCTGGCTTGTCCGAGATGGAAGTTCGAAGGCCAGATGGCATGGAGAAATCCGGGCTGAAATCGCACGAAGCTTTGTGGCCCCTTCACATATGCACTTGATATTTGCACATTTTGCACGCATACGTTCGTCCAATATTCCCAATGACATCCAATGACTCCAAATGTCATATTTGCATTATATTTGCTGGGTCACTTTGAACAACAAATGGTATCCCTCAGAAGATTGATGCCAACAGTTCCAAAGGAATTGAAAGATGCATGCAATCAACATCCCTCAGCCTGGCTGAGGCAGGTCTTGACATGGTAATGGAGATAGACAGAGAATGAAAGAGAAAGAGCAAAAGAATGATGTAGACACATGTAGACACGGGATGATGGATCCAGGAAATTGAAGGAATATGAAAGATAGGTCTGCAGTTTGCCCCCCCTCTCCCTCGAAGAGGTGGTCGCACGATTTCTCTCATGTTATTCTACTGTCGCGTACAGTGCTCTTACACTCCCAAAGGTCACGGAAGCATTGACAAATATTGACAAGGAATTGACAAGGAATTGTAACCGTTTTCATCCGTTTTCGATCGTTTTAGACTGGCACGCGGTGCCTCGGTGCCTCTCTTGGCCAAGATTTTGGCTGCGAATCCTGCAATGAGGCGTCTCGTTGGAGGTGAAGATTTCGATGAGGAAGAAGTTGAGAGGACTGCAAGGGCCGAGACGACTGTAGTTCTGACGCGTGAGAATGCTTCTGGATGTCGCATCCTTGAACAAGATAATTGGACGAGATCTTCAATCCTTGGCAAAATGCGACGTTTCAGCGATCAGAAAGATCATGGAAACATAAAGGAATCTGAAAGAATCTGGACGAGATGGACACCGCATTCAGCATGACATGTGTCCACTGTGTCAACAGCCTTCTTTGGAGTTCCTATCAAGGCTGGATCAAGTGGAGTTGCCGCTCTACGAGCTTCGAAGGCCAGGGATTTCGTATTTTGTATTATATATTTTGTTCCTGAGGGCAGAAGCCAAGAAGGAGCAGGAAGTATACAGCAAGGAGACGTAAGGAGACGTAAGGAGACTCGCAGGAATTTTTGGCATCCGCAAGTACATTTGGTAGATGTTTCGCACAATGTCAAGTCAACTATAGTTCAATGATGTTTCAATAGTTTTCTGGGTGTATGCTTCAGAATTAGTTTCCTGGACTCCGCTCCGCACAAGGCGCATCTTACAAGATGAGATTTTCTCCACCGAAGAGCGTTTGAGGCAGTGATGGGCGGCACGCAAGAGCAGTCATGGTCATCATTTGGTGCAATTAAACCGCAGGTGTACGTGTGGCAAGGTGTTGGAAAGTGGAAAGACTTTGCCTTCCTGCTGTGCATGTAGAGGATCAAAAAATGTGCGAGGCACGTAGAGACACTATTATCCTTTTCGGACATGTGGCTTGGAAGTTAAGTCATTGTGGTTCCTGCCTCGCTTGAGGCTTGGTGTCGTGGGTCTTGACGAAGCAAGTATTCAGCAGCTGGGTCCTCATTTGTGGTATTTCAAGGGCAGAGGAGATGCAGGTAGGCAGTTGGTTTCCCTTCAAGTTTCGTTTGCGTTACGATCCGGATACGTGTTTCAGGTTGGGTTGCAGTTGCAAGCCGCTTCTGTAGTGCTCATGGCTTTAAGGCGCTTGGAAGACCGAGAACCCTTCACTGCCGACGAGCTGTTCAGGCAACGGTCAAGCTTGGATGATCCAAAGATCGGATTGGCCCCTGAAGTGGATTGAAGTGGAGGAGTGGCTTTGCAACAACTTTCGCTGTAGTATGACAGCAGTACCAGCATTATCGTGATGTATCATAGTCATAGTCGAGATTTAGATTACTTTACCCTTCGCAACGGCAGAATGTTTGTTTGGTTTTCTTATGCATTACCCCATGCCATGAAATTGTCGGCAAAGTATGCCATTATCCTGTCATATCCTATCATATCCTATCATATCCTATCAATCACAGCCTCCCGACTCCCAGGTTTACCCAATGTTGAAATTCTGGTGCTCCACTGCTCCTGGAAGTGTTGTGTTGCTCTTGCTTGCTGGCGCTTGTGAGTAGCATCATGCGTCACAGCATTCTATCACTCATTTTGCGTAGCCATGTGAGTATTCCATTCTGCTGTCCCGTATTGTATCAGCGGGCTCATCCTGACAAAATCAAAATCGATTTGTTTCCAACTACAGTATATACATGTCCGAAACTGCAGAAATTTTAGGGTTACTACACTCCTAAACTGGGCCCGTCCACTTCAGCCGGGTTGCAGTTTGGAAAGCGCCGGCTTTGATCCAGAAGAATTACATCGCCGACTTCATGGTGAGACTTGGCTGCAATGTGTCTTCGATGTGTTCACGACGAAGTGCGGTTCAGAGCCTTTGTGAACATTGCATGAGTTTACTCACTTTACTGAGTTTACTCAGAAGCTGGCTGGTTGAGGTTTGCTCAGACAGTCGATGCTTGTGACATCTTGTGACTGCCTGCATTTTCCGTGCCAAGGAGAGCTGCTTCTCTCCTTCAGAACTGCAAACGCGCGCAGCCTGGGGAACTGAAGACTTGGCGGGAAAGAAAAGGATTTGGGAACGCTCACTGGCAAGATCTGGCAAGTTTCTTGTAGAGGGCTGGTAATTGACTACCCTGGTCCTTTGTAAGAATGGCTGCCCTTGTTATTGATTGCCTCATCCGGTCAGACATGCGTTGCGCCAAAAATCAGCATCACTTCGCTGCAGTGGATGGTGTTGTGTGCATTGGCCTCAAGCAAATCTATCCCAAAACTTATGCTCCCTGTGCCTCTTCTTGCAGGTTGGCTCTCATCGGAATGTCTGAAGAGGATATTGTCAGGCTCGAAAAAAGCGCCATGGCGCTAGTGTTTTGGGTGAAGGGTCTTCTAGCCTTTCAACCATATAATATATATATATATAATTTTATTTATAATTAATTAGGTATAATATATATATATATTATATATATATACACCTATCGGTGTCGGGCAACCTTCAGGGTCTTCAGCATGCAAAGTGAAAGATTGCGGTACTAAGCAACACTTTTTCACCGCATTGCATTGCAGTGTATTATTATATTATATGTGTTCATGCATTCCTGCTTCCAATACCCTAGATGCGGTTGTTGACATGCAGTCACCGTCCGAACTGTGTTCTTATTTTTGCCTAGACCTCCGTCATTATCAATAATATCAAGAGGCGTTTGCTTGCGGGTGAAGAGTTCTCCGACGAGGAATTGAAATGGCCAGGAGCTCTGCAACACGTCAAGAGCAGCGTCAACATTTGAAGTTGTTGGCATTGCACTTCATTATGGGATGTCCTTACCATATCATCGTACAACGCACAAGAATGGAGGGATTCCAGATTTTTGCGGATTACAAGTTCGTTGCCCTGCTGAATCGCATGAGTGAGAGCAACAGCCTGCATCACCATGCAGCGGACCAGCTGAACTTCACACGCTACGATTCATTCACCTTTAGCATCCTAAGGCTGCAAAAGGGTGGTTTCACCTTGGCCAAGCTGATTAGGCAAGCAGCAAGGGTGGTGGCACTGTGTGGTTTCCATCGCTTCCACTAGGAAGATACACAATGGCGGTTGTGATGAGGACTGGTCCATGAGGCCTTGAGTCGATCTAGTCGATCTAGCTTGTGCCAATATTTGCCTCAGCCGCCAGCCACCCATGAAAATCATGAAATGATTTGTGCCTCCTGGCACTGGCGCTTGCACGAATCGGCTGAGCTTTGAAACCCCCCCCTCCAAGTAGAAATGTTTTTTTTGAAATGTATACAATGGCAGATTGAGACCTGTGAGTGGATGGCAGGCGTGTCTTCGGAACCAGCAATCCCACCAAGGAAGATGGTGACTTGTCCAGGCCAGGTTTGTGCTTTGCGCATTTAGACGTTTCAGACAAAGCAAGTTGCCAGGCGATGTACCTTCGAGTTCTTATCAATTGTTGTGATGCTGAGTTTGTCTTCAGCTTCAGCGCTGATACTGATACTGAGAACACTTTTGGACTCTTCGCAAGGGAGACCTCTTTTGATGTCATTGTTGATACAGGTCATTTTGGCTGGGGCCAGAAGATGAGATGCCAGAAAGGCTCTGCAACTGAAAAGTGTTGTGACGTATTGTAAGCACTTAAGATATATCTTAAGCCTGTTGTATCATGTTGTATCATGTTGTATCATGTTGTATCAGTTTGCTACATTGCTGTTACTAGTCGTTTGGTTGCGTTCGTGGCCTAGCAGCAAGAGCTTTGAAGTTCCAAACATCCAAGAGTGTCCTTCTAAGCTAAGCATACTTAAGCTCGCAAATAGATGCAAAATGCATCAAAATGCAAAGAGTTACACACCATGTTATGCGCTTGTGCATGTGTGTTCGTGCCAGGCTAACGAACCAAAACATGGCAATGGCACTGCAAAGGCGCCCGAAGAGGGCCATGATGGTCATGGTTTCCTGTGTGGCAGTTGCATATGTATGGACACCACATGGAACTGGACGCTTGTTGGGGACAAATTTTCATATGTTTCATGATGAACCTATGCCGGGGCTCGAGGTTTCCTCTTAGGCAAGTCATGCCTCACTGTGACCTTGGCAGATCTTGGCATCAGGCTGATGTCAGATATTGGTTTGCTGTCCGATGAAGAGCACTACATGCCGCGGGCCCTGTGTTGCTGTTGCGCTGCAGGATGCAAACGGCCAGATAGCCTGTCTTTGCTTTCAGAATTAATACCTTTTTGATCCTTTTTGATCTTTTTGTCCGTGGCGTGGCCTACCTTTCAGCAAGTTCCCATAGAACTGGATGTCAAATGCTGAACTGTCCAGGCTGGAATCGTGTGGCCTGTCTATGGAGGAAATGCAGAGGCACCTGTTGGGGCTGCACGCGTGTCCCTTTGCAAGACATCTTGCTGTAGTGATTACTGTATGATTGTATGGAGGTCGGAGATGGTCAGAGCTAATCAGTCTCTTGAAGTAATTCGATGTAATGCAGGCACACAGAATGTCACAGAATCCATGAGAACCATTCCAAAAGCATTCCTCTCAAATCACTCTCGGGTACATTCGGGTACTGTGACAGCATACAAGTGCGGAGTTCTTGAGTTTCAGCGTCGTGAGGGGACTAGTGTAAGCAATGATAAGCAGGCAGCCACTGGCCACTGCTTGGTGTCGGAATTTGCTGCGGATGCGCGTTTCTTTCACAGCGTGCTAGTTCTTTGGATTCTTGGATTTTCTGGAAAGTGTATCACAATATATCACAATGAAATACAATGAAGTGAATTTGGGAATTGCATATGCTGCATATTCTAATGATTTCTATAGTGATTTCTGATTTCTGATTTCTGTGGCATCCAATTGGCATCCAATGTCCCTCCAAGTTCCAGGCGCCTGGCCTTGGGCGATGGCTTCACTGAAGAAGAGCTGGAGAGGCCGCGAAAACCCGGGAGGACCGGGAGGACCGGAGGACGGAGGTGAGATCCAGCTCAGCATAGGCAAGCATATATTTATAGCTAAGCTAAGCAGATCTTAGAAATGCTCAGAATATATTAGAATATCTATGAGTATTTTGGAATAGTATAATCAGAAATATGACAAAGGTGCCACGTATTGAAAAGACAAAGAGAGATGACACTGATGACAGCTTCATCAGCCAGCAAGGCTTGAAAGTGCTGGTCTATCAGCGAGTCTTCAGAGGCCTGTGGTGTGGTGAGACCCCAAACACAGTTCCAGTTTGACATCAACTTGTTTTTCATGTCCACCCTTTGGACGGAGGTGAAGGGCCAGAGTCTCATCCCCAAATGAGCAAAGTTGTTTTTCTTTTCTTTCGCTGGCCAACATGCTCGATGAGCCTGCACAAGAGTAACAATACTTCAGTCATCTTCAGTCCATTCAGGCTTCCGTATGTAGAAGACTTGGAGTAATTTGCCAGTGTTTGCCTTATTGTTCTTCATCGTGCCTGCACAAAAGATAAGAATGTAAAGAGAAGACAAGCCCGGATTTGATTGTGCAGCTGCATCGCTCTGACCTATTTGGCCTGTTTGGTGGAAACTGGTGGAAGGCTGGCATCCACGGAAACCATCTCCGACAGTGAGCGCCAGGCAGGTAGCAAGTTCAGTGTTTGCAGGTCAGCCCGTTCAGATGTGCAATTGCGACCACATCCCCAAACATCCCCAAACAACTGTTGCATTTTTGCGGCACGAGGCTTTTTAGTACGTAATTCATAGCTGCTTGTGTGTGTGTGTGCCTGTTCTGCGGTCATTTTCTCCCGTATTGGACACAGCGCCACAAATATTCCGGCAAAATGTGGCACAGTGTTTGGTCACGAAATGTCACGTATCAGAAGATGCTCGCATCATCAGGTGCTGGAGAGCTGCGGTTTGCCTGTGGAAGAGATTCACAGGTTCTAAGCGAGCCATACCATGCCCGTGGATATCCGTGGATGAGATGTGTTTTGGATTGTTTTTGGCCCTGCTGTGGTGTGATGGACTAGACATGACCAGTGACTATAGATCCCCATCGCCTGCGTGTGTAAAGCAGTGGAGACCACACAGTCGTATTTTAGATTCGGTCATATTCGTTGCAGTCCTCTAAGTGTTTGTCACTTCGATATGATTGATATGATATACTTGAATCATTCTTGAATCAAACTCTTCGGATATTCTGGACCTGGATCGGGCTGACTCTTTTGATGCGGAGGCGCATCATGACCGGCGAGGATTTCACTGAGGATGAAGTTAACAGGCGCATTCGCTGCTTCAAGTGAAGCAATATTGAATTTGTATCATCTTGTATAATATATGCTAGTCATCAGGCTAGATGCGAAGCCGGACTTTTTGTGATGTCCCACGGAGGCTTTCATCAAGCCACTGGTGCAGTTAGGGCATTAAGTCATTGAGTCATCGATTTTGTTGTTTTCAGTCAATTACTGTACGTAGTTGGGGTGGAGCTTCCCAGGGGGATTGCATCAATTTTCGTTGTACCATTCAGAATTGGGTATAGAAATGGTTCAAAATGTCATTCATTTGTTGTATGTTTTGTGGTTATTTCTTGCGGAACATGTTGTCATGAATTGTTAAGAAATCATGTAGAAGCAGGTCGGCTTACAGTCTGGATCTGTTGGCATCCATGGCATATGTGGCCTCCTCCCCCCATCGCATCCCCCAACCCTGAGATGTTCTCCATTGGTAATTAATTGCTGCTTCTTTTGCTGCTGCTGCTGCTGCCGCTGCCGCTGCTGCTGCTGCTGAGCTGCTCTAAGCCTGTGTGCTTGGCTCGGCCTTGTTTGCTTGCTTGCTGACTGTTTTGACTTCTTACAGTGTGCCAATAGGAAATGTTCCTTCGAGAGCACGCCCCTACTTTGTAGATTGTAGATGTCTGCCACACGTCCACCTGCAATGACTGTATGCTTTGGGTGTTATATGTATGTATGTCTGAATGTATGTCTGGGCATCCTTCACCTATCTGAAGTCGTTTCGAGGGTAGTTTGGGGTCCTTTCGAGGATCGTTCCAGACCTCTCCCATAAGATTTGCACCGCAAGTCTTTAAATTGTCTTGTTTTGGAACCCTCAAAATAAATACAGCCTTCCCCCCAAGCCATTTGGCATGGTTGATGTGACTATGATGCGAAGGGGTCGCATGCACTTCCCCGCATAGAAATTATGCTCCCCAAAAAAAAGTTGATGCGACTTAAGGCTTTCACTGCATATCGACCTTCCAAATTTCAGGAAACTATTGACAGTGCCCTAGAGGAAAGGGATGGAAAGCGCTTTGTGCTGACAGCGAAAGCTGGCACCATGGTTTCTTTTTCAGGCTGCAAGCAGCTGGCTTCCGATCCATCGAAGACTTACAGAGGTGCAATCTTCGTGTGGTTCATCATATATGAATATATATATATATATACATATATATATATATCATTGTATCATATAATTGATAGATATATATGTGATTGATATTATAATATTTATATATATATAATTACATTGTGGCCACTACGCGGGTATCACTTTTCCACCCGCAGACGAAGACGAATGTTGCAGACGAATTCCCGAAAGACGAATTGCCCCCCGAAGACGAATTACCCCCCCGAAGACGAATTACCCCCCCGAAGACGAATTCCCCGAAGACAAATTGCCCCCCCGAAGACGAATTCCTTCCCGAAGACGAATTCCCGGAAGACGAATTGTTCCCCAAATATACTTCCGTCCCAAAGACGAATTCCCCGAAGACGACTTGCATGCCCCCAGAAGACGAATTCCCGGAAGACGAATTGCTCTTTCCCGAAGACCAGACCAGACAAAGGAGTGTAGCAATCGAAAATGTAAGATGGGGTCTGCATACGTGCCCCCGATGCTTGCCCAGGCAGCGTTTCTGCAAACTCATGGCTAGCACGATGCGTGGTGCGAAGGCATGAAGTACGGCGAGTCTTGCAGTGCGCACATTATACTGTGCATTAATTGCGTGGCATCTGTAAGCGTCAGTCTGTTCCTTGCCTTCCTCTACCACATTCCAAAAAGACCACGTTGTCAAAAGAAGTTTCGCACAGACACCCAGAGTCTTGAAATATAACAGACAGATATAGT